CAGATGGTAAAATCTGGTGTAAATGTATTACATCAAAATGTGCAGCGTGGAATCTTCCAGTTACAGTTGAACATCAGTCAAGCCTTTCCTCAGTGGGAACAGAACCAACAAAATATTTAGGAATCTACAAAGTTGTGGTCAGCAGATCTGGCTTCAGCAGAGGAGGTTGCCTTATATCAACCAGCTGCTTTGTTTTAGGAAAACACTGTTTGCACGTAATCGTCTCAAAGAAGCTCTGAAGAATGTTAGTGCAGTGGAAGAAGAAGAGAGTAAAACCACTCCATAAGCCCGGTGAACCTCAGTGTTTATCTAGCACAGTCCATTCATCATCGTAATTATCACCCTTGCATGATTACCAAAACACACATGCACGCACACAGATATAACAAAGTATTTATCGCACTGTAAAAGGTTAAGATATTTGCATATTTTAATTGAAATTGAGAAACCATGAATGTTTCTTTTGGGAAAGGACTATTGTAAACATTTGTTTCTGTTTATTTTCTCAGGAAAAGAATATGAAAGCTATGTCGGGGAAAGCTCAAACAGGCTGCTGTTTTCTGATATAAACTCTAAAGAGCGGATGTTAGCGTTGCCAAGGCTTGCATCAGCTTAGAATATCTGCATCTCCTCTCCTACTTTTCAAAGTGTGTGCGTGTATGCACTTGTCAAGTCACAAAGTGTCGTTACTTACAATGCTTAATTATGTGTGCGATACATATACTGTATATATACATAAATATATTGACACATATATGTACAGTCGCCAACATAATCTGTCAAACTATAGGTGGGAACAGAGTAAAGAATGGGCAGGTAGAGAAAGCTCTGCCAAGTTTAGACATTCAAGCATTTTGTTTGAGCAGTTGGAAGTGTGTGTGCCTCTTCCTCTGACTGGATGTGTCATACCTGTGCACCTGTGGGTTTCAGCTTTCCTCTGCACGGCCAATCGGCCTGCCGTGCACCTGGATTTCTGTTTATGCTATTGCTGGAGGGGTCATGCTGGTATGTGTAGTCAGTCACTCACTCTGACATCTAAAGAGCCTCATCCAGCACGTGCAAGTACTTTCTGACCTCCATGTACATATCATAGTTGAAGGGTGATTTCATATGCTTATAAACCCTGCTGTTGACAGAAAGTTCAAATATGTTCAAACTCTTGCAGCGCTTGTTCTCATTTGACTTTTTTGGTACACTTTCTTACTACTTGCTAAGCTTGTATCTTTCTCCAGCTTTTCCATAATGGCCTACGTGACACCGATCAGAAACCTAAACACACACACACGTGGGCCAATTGACAGGGTCACATATGGGATGTGCTCCTAAATTCAGTATCATTTTCCCAGTGTAAATATTAGTCAATGTCAGGACCATTTACTCTGTAATGGCAGTCCTTCAGCTGTTCTTTCCGTAAAGCACTTTCTCTCTGCTCCTCTCCCTCGGGCCATCCCTCTCAAAACCCCTCTCCTTATTACTCCCCTCATCCAGCCTCATGTAATCCCCCGTTTCTCATTACCCAATCTTCTCTCCTGTTCTTTGCGTCTCCTCTTGAGCGCCAGCAGTCTCTGACAAGGTCCAGTCGCCTGCCAGACATCCCTGTTCCCCACATTGAAAATCCCCCTTCTTCCCATTCTCCTGACACAATATGATTAATCATTCCATTAACTGATCCACTGTCATTGGACTGTTGAGGGGCGCTTATAGTAAAACCTCAACCAATCCCCTGGGAGACACCCAATCTTCAGGCTATCTTAGAAAGCTCTCAAGAAAGCTCTTCTTGTCTTTGTTCACTACACTCCTAAAACAGCTGTCATCTAAAGTGGGTTCCGTCACTACATTTGCCCCTGGGTGAGGAAACTGAATAAAGGACTCTAACTGGTTCAGAAAAAACGCTGAAATGTTGTTGGAATTGGAAGCAAAGGAAAAGTTAGACTTTTAAATTAAATTAAGAGCTCTTTTAAAATGCACACACGCTTTGTGGAAAAGGAGAAGTTGATATAGGAGATACAAAAATTAATTTGAAGCATACTGTACAAACAAGACTTGAACAAACACTATGAGGTAATACTTCTCTGCTGGTTTTACATTTGATATTTATTGAAACAAAGTAGAGCATTGAGCCAATTTGTAAAAAGTAACAAAATATCAGCTATAACACATAATGTTAAACAAACCTCAAATTCACGGAGAAGCTTATAAATATACATATCTGGATTGGTAGAAATAGTTTGTCTATTGAGAATCATCACAGGGATAGCGAGCAGATAACGGAGTGGTACTGAAAATATGTGGTGATGATAAAAAAACCTCAACACTTTGTGATATATATTTATACATGCGTGTGTAACAGTAAAGCTGAACATGAGTGAGAAGAAAGAGTTTGTGTGTCGAAACAATAAGGTGCATTTCCCTTTACAAAACAGTGAAGAGCCGCATTAGTGAGAACACCATTTTTAAAAGTGACTTAAAAAAACTTGAGGTTGTCTGACTAAATATTGATTTATGATGGAGATGGTGTTTTTATGTTTTTAGCTTAGAGGAGGATCTGTTTAAAGAAAAAATAAATACAGTTTACTGATTGGTTGGATAGACATACTATATACACAGAGCATGGAATATTTCACCACTGTAACCACAACAATCGCCCATATATATTCAAACCATATTAAGTATTGTAAAATAATGTTAAATGGATAATCTGAATGAATATGGAAAAGAATGTAGGCTATAATATTGATATATTTGCTGATGCATGGTAGTAAAAAACAACAACAGCTGAACAGACACGCACAGACAGGTTTTAGCCTCTGTATCAAAGTGCATAATGGTGGAGGGCTTGTTGCAGCACCTGGGGAACTCTAAGGCTTCTGGGACAGCTTAATAAAAGGCCCAATCCCCAAAACACCCTCTTATTGTACCCATTGTACTCCAAGGACTTGCACGGACCAACAGTGTTCCTTTCTCTACATGAGGGGAGAGGACGAGTATACTTTGGTGAGGAGGTGAAGGCTGGTTTGGGACTGAGCCCATGAAATCACATCTATGCACTACAGCACACATGTGTTTTCCTCTCAACAGTAAACAAACCAGGACCTCATATTCAACTATGCCACAAATATAAAACACTACTCTTCTTTGGAAATGGAAGCAGAGTCCAATTTCGCAACCAGTGTGACCCATCTGACAAGACAAATGTGATATTCTGATATTGATAAATGGTGGAGGGAGATTTCCAGCCAGTTGTAGGCACTTGAATGGGTTAAAATTAGCTGGTGATACTTGGGCCAAAATAAAACATAACAATCTCAAAAATAAATATTTCACGATACTCTCAGTTTCTGAAGACATAAGATTTTTTTGAAAAAAAAAAAGAGTCAGTCTTTTTGCAATGGCATAATTGTTTAACTCTATAAATATAATTTATATAGTTTCTTTCTTCCATTCTCTCTCTGTGTTCGACTCCTTTGCTCCTCTGCTCACGAATACACACAGATGTATGCCCATCGTCTGCAAGCAAAGGCATCACTCCTCCTCTCACTTGCAGACGAATTGGTCTACGATTTTGGTGCAGCGCTTGCACTTGACGTAGCAGCACCAGTGGAACTTGCAGTGGCAGCGCTCCACTATCTGCGCCTTGTACTGGTCGTACCCGCGGCCGCAGCACATCAGCTCGCACCCATCCATGCCCTCCGAGGTCTTGTTGCAAAGGCGTCCCACTGTGCCCAGGGAGCCCGTGCTCTGGTTCTTCAGGCAGTAGTCTGGACTGGCCTCGATGTATACCAGGTCGTGGCTCGTGGGGGCGTTGAACTTGCTGTGCATCTGCACCAGCTTTCCACGCGTGTTGAGCTTCATGGCAGCAGCGCTGTCATACTTTTCCTTCAGCGCTTCGCCCACCTTTCGGAAGTCAGCCAGCTGTAGCCAGCAAGTCTTCAGGCTGCAGGAGCCTGACACCCCGTGGCACTTGCAGGACACGTTGGCAAGGTCGGACACCGTCTGAGAGGAGAGAGGAGGGGGAAGAAAATGAATAAATGAATTAACAAGGTGAACCTGCACAATCATTTATTTTTAATGTGGCAAATTGCAAAAAAAATGTCCAAGCGACACATGCTTAAAGTTTAATTTGACCTGTCTGTATAAATATTTGCACAACGTGCTGCTCATGATCTCATAACACATAACTTTTCCATAAAGGACCGAATGATGCTGTCCATGTCTCCAATAGTTCATTGAATAATACGTTGTCCACTCATTTGTCCTACTTGAAAGAACACTGCCTGGCAACAGATATCTGGAATTACGTTCCCTCTGAGGTGGTTTCAAGATGTTTGAAAAGGAAAAGAGATCCCAGAGCTGCCTCACGGGAGTCCGTCTCCCCACTGATCAAAGCCTCAGGAGAGGAGAGCTGACAGAGCTGTTACCCAGATGATCAGCGGAGACATATCTCATTGACCTGGATTGTCTCACTTCCAAATCCTCTTACTCTTCCTATCACTGGCTGGTGTCATTCTAGGGTCGGCAGTTTATATCACTATGCTTGCTTCTTATCTGATGAAATCTTAAGATCTTTGAGTGTATAATCCCTGTGTCTTACCCTCCTTCCAGCCTCGTTATTGTGTATATTCATCATCAGCCGGGCGCTCTCATATGAGCCTTTCGGGAAGCTCTTCTCCCGCTCACGTGCGTCCACAAACTCCTTGGAGAACCTGTAGCCATAGTTGAGGTTGTCTCCGCAGCCGCCCCACAGCCAATCTCGCGGCAGGTCCTTGGGGCGAGCTGCACGGCTGCACCCACAGCTGGAGAGCTCACCCTCTCTGCAGGCACGGCTCACCGCGTTCACCACTCCTGCCGCACTGATGGCATAAGTGAAGGCTGTTTCTCGGCTGCCTGCAGACACATAAACGGGGAAATCATGTCACATTTGACACAACAAGGAACAGAGTAAATAAGAAATGTGTTTTCATTTGGCAAATCCATCCACTACTCCTTTCTTCTAGGTTATTTGTTTATCACTCAATGTGTGTCACTTTCATTTTGCTTGAACAATTTAAATAGTGTTATGGGATGTGATGTCATATGACAGCATCAACCATATATTTAAGATTACATAGCGTTTAAACCAAAAGTTGCGAGTTCCTCATCACCAACATGTTGAATGTTGGAATCTGGTTTGCTGTTATTGGGCTTCAGCCAGAGAGAAGAGGGCGCCCTCCAGTGACAGAGATGCTTCCTAACAAGCTGCTGCCATTTCACCCAAATTGAAAGTGACAACAGTTCTTTACTTTATCTGTCATGACTGACTGATCCTGGAGGCCTTGCTCTTGAACTCCCACTGTTTTCTACCCTCAACATTTCCTCTGTAGGGACAAAAGGTTTTAAAAACTCACATGAGCAGTTTTTGCAATCACCAATCCATTACCACTTTTATTCAAAGCCAGAGATTAAAAGAGAAAACTGAGATAAGCGACTAAAGAAAAAGCAGCCGACCAAACTATGAGGCTGACATTGAAGACGGGGGCTGTTACAGGATAAGTCCACAGCTCATATACCTGCTGGGCCGACCTTTAGTGAGTGCACTTTAATGACAGTAACAGATGGACAGAACAGCAGATTAGGGAAAGAAAAAACGACTCAAGAGATAAATCAAGAAAAATAAATTGAAGAAGAAAAAGCAAGTAAAACGGAAAAGGAGACACACGCATGCACTAAATATCACAGAAAGTGGAAAAAGACAATGACAGAGAAGAGAACAGATGAATAAAGAAACCTTGTGGAAAGTCTGAAAGCTGTTCAGGTGGAAAACTCTGGCAAGAACACAGATGATCAGAGAGTGTGTGGGATTCATTAGTCTAGGACAGCTTTTAATCCAGCCCGAGTACATGGGCCTAAATGGACCTGAGGACAGACAGAGTGTCGTCTTCTACACTAATTCCCTTCTTCTGTACCTCCACCTGGAGCTAGCCAAGTGAGGCAGGGAAAGGGTCCCAACCAAACCACTTAAGCACCCCCAGGAGCTCAGCTTTAAATCACAAGCAGTGTCCGACGCCAGCAGACAGACAGACAGTTAGACAGACTTTCAGATAGACAGCCATGGAGGGGCGGACATGTTTACTTGGCCGAGAGTGGGCTCAGATGGAAGCAATGTTGGAGAGGGAGAAGAGAAATAGGAGAACTGCTGTTGATGAGGTTTCTATGAAGACTGATCTGTGGAGAGGGAGTCAGCAGCGCCAGCGATACAGAAAGGTAGAATCACCAAGAGTAGCGTAAAAATGTGTATGTGCGCACACAAGGTCACGTAGTGAGCTCGCAAGTACCTCTAGTGTTATCTATCCATGCAGACAGTTTCAGTTTTATGTGCTGAGGTTTTGAGATATCCATTTCTTGACATTTTTCCCACCGCCGCGATATGATGCAAGTAAATAACATTTCGTTTTGGGTGCTCACAACATCAATTTTAAATGACACGCAGACATCTCTTTCCAAAAACAAGGGTTACACTGGATCATCTACAGACCTCGGTGCAAGCAGTTTTCAGTGAAACTACTTTCTAACTAAAAATAGTCCCCAAGAAAAGTGTTGACAGTGTGTTCTGTGGATTATCCAGACTAATGGGGACATTATTACTGGAAAGAGAAGTTGCTGTTGAGCGCATTAAAGGTTATTCTTAAAGCTGTGATCACCACAAAATGAAATTCCATTCACCATTTATTCCATAAATTGCATGGGGGTGGGAGCAGAAAACTAAGCAAAAGATTCTGGACAAATGCATGCGTTCTATGTAGTTGTTTTTCTCGTTTGGATTAATTGACTTTAAAGAGTAACAACATGAAAAAAAAAAAACCCATCTGCATTTTTTACGCTCAAGGAATTTTAAAGTTTCCCAAAATGTAAGCTGACTTTTACTACTATTAGCCAAATCCGGCTGTAACTCTGCTATCATCCAACACCCACATGGTATAGCTTCATTATAATTCAGCTGGAGAGTTATGATCAATAAATGGTAAACCACCTTTACATAAGCCCCTGAGGTGAAGGCCCACATCCAAAGCAAACTAAAACAAACCTTGTAAAATGACAGGATGCAAGAGTGGGGATTACTAAGAGAGGAGCGTAAAGCTCTTGAACTTTCTATAAGATATCCAAGCAAACTGCATGTACACTACATGCACATACACATACACACACAGACAGTTTAATCTCTGACAAGGTGATGTATTGGTGCATACACTCACTGCACTCCCATTACTTGTAAATACAGGGCAGCTACAGTCCAGCTCCACAGTGTGTGTGTGTGTGTGTGTGTGTGTTACACTAGATTAGATTGTCCTTCATTCATCAGGGGAAAAGCAGATTCTCTGCCTCCCTCTTGCTCCATGTCGGGAGCTGGTTTAGCAGGCCAAAGCCACATGTGATTTATCCAGAAACCTCACTATTCCTTCCACACAGCTGCTGAGAATCAACAGCCCCACAAGAGGGTCAGTGAATCAGACAGAGGGAGTATGAAGAAAGAAAACACACAGACAGTTCAGATTCTGAATAACACTGGTGAATGTGTCGTGCAAAGGCGGTCATATTTGTAAACTTGCACATTTGTATCCACTGCTATGTGTTCATGTTAATGTTTCTAAGTACATATGCTATTTTTATACATTCTTGGTACATTTCTTACCTATTTGCATGACCCGTCCGAAAACAGAAGAGTTGTCCACAGTGCTGCAGTTCCAGCGCCGCTGTCTGAACTGGTACTGGCACTCTCTGATGCCGGTCTTGGCACCTTCACCGATGTACTGCATGTGGTCCTGGTAGAGCTGGCACAGCTTCTTCTGGCCCTGCGACAGGCCCACCAGCTGGCTGCACAGAGGCTGGGCCCCGATGATGTAGGCTTCGGGGATCAGTAAAGGGTTCATGGCCAGAGACCTGGATTAGGAGAAACACATAATGCAGTGGTTTTTACTCAAATGTGCAGGTTTTCAGTCTTAATTCCCAACCAACAGCTCATTTCACTTAATTAGTTTCTCTTTCTTATGGGTGAATCTATGTTATTCAGTCAAATGAGACACAGTTATTTATTAAATGTAAAATCCTACACCGTTTAGCTCTTAATGAAATTGGACTTAAGAAGGTATACCATTTTGGGCCAGGAACATACAATAAATAGAAGCACACATAGACAAAACATGGGAAACCAAAGTGGAACATTTAAAGTAGAGGACAGAGGAAAAATAGCTGAAGTTGGCACTTATTTTCAGAGAAAAATAAAGAGTATGTGAAATTAAAGGTGCTTGGTATAAAACAAAAAAAACGCTAAAATATAATTTGGTTCTTACACGTCTCCAAGCTGAAGTTGCCACCTATTTTAACTTGAAACCCTTGATAGCCAAGCAATGCCTGTCAAAGACCCCTCATCACAGGTTGTATATTATGTCGAAAAACTGCTATGAAGTTGTATTCCCTTTTAATTTAATCAAACAGTTCCATTCAGTTTTGGATGAGAGAAATAAAAACATATAAACACGGACTGGAAGAAAGAGAGAGAGACATGGATGAACACAATTGAAAAAGAGAGAGAGGAACATTAGTATGAGCATCTGGTTCCAAGCCACAGGACAATTAGAGCGGCCCATCCCTGAGCCCTAAGAGAAAGACAATTAGCCCCCAGTGTAACCCGATCGACTGGGGAAAGTCAGCAGAGAGAAAACACACACTTATACAGAGATGTACATACGGAAAAAAAGATGAATGTACACACAGACATGCAGACTGACGCTGTATCTCACACACACACACACACACAGTCAGTTGGCCCGCTGCTCCGAGACTCTAAATCATTCACACCTGTGCGTCCTCTCAAAGAGGAAACTGAAAGACACACACAGTCTGTGCTCCAAAGTCAGCTTTCCGAGTGTCTGTGGTGGTGTGCAAGTCCTCTGCTGGTAAATCCAACTTATTATTTGAACTTTACTTTAGTTTCCTTCTGGGCTGAGTCCATTCAAATATGTTTATTTGTATAAATCCTCCTTAATTATTTGTTTAAATTATTATTTTCACATAATTAGGCCTTCACCACATGATGTCACTGCTGGCTTTGATCTGCTCTCTGAAGCAAAGGTCCTACACAGAAAGTGTTGGTTTACTGTAAATGCTCCATGTTTTTAACAAGCACTTCACTTAGGATACACAATTATACACACAAGTGCACAATCAGACAAACAAACAGAAACAGCCACATGCCGTAAAGAGTTGTGAATTGCTTTAAGTATAGAATCTACTCTGTTGTACAGTATTTTTCCTATATTAGAAGTACTGTGTGTTTAAACGCAGCATGCTGAAATATAGAATTTGTAATAGGACGTGCATCAACACACACACGCATTCACACACTGTTCGCGTTTGCACATATTTGACAGCGACTCAAACCACAACATTCTATGTTTTCTATAATATTCATAATTTTGGTTTGGCAATATGCAAAGAAAGAAAATAAAGGAGAAAAAGGTCCTTTCTGAAAAGCTAATGTGCTACAGTCAGCAAGTAATGTTATTTCATATGTGGTGCAACTGAAGCTGAGGAGGCTTACTTAGCAAACACGCACACACACTCTCACACATAGGCCTGAAATGGACACTGAAACCAAGTAAATGACTAATATAAACACTTACAAAATATTTGTATAAAAAGGAAAGAAACTGTAGATTACCCCAGATCTTTGGGTGTTTCAAAAATATATATTTTAAAGCTCGGCTTGCTTATTCAAAAATTTGAATTATTTATAAGTGTAAAATAAGAAATTTCCGTTTCAAAGTTGACAATTTCCAGTGGTCATGACACGGGTAAACACACTGTGCAGAAACTTCATACCAATACAAAAATACTGTACATATGGGAAAAAAATGAATGCATACCACCAAGAGTTGGCCTCCACCACCACCTGCATGAGGAGTGTGAGGAGTGTGAGGGCAAAGACGCAGTGTCTGGAGTCCAACAAGCTGCCATAGGGCCAGCTCCCCGGCCGACACACACAGCCCAGCCCCAGGTTCATTCTGCTGCTTGATCTGAGGGAGGACAGAGAATAAAAGGTTGTCAGACTGCCTGCCTGTCTGAATGTTTGTCTTGCACATTTTATTGAGCAAAACACAGAAAAAGACAGACATCTGGATTGTTAAAATGTATGAAGGGAATGCAGGAACACATATTTTAGCTCTATGTCTGTATATCTATACTCTCTATTTTACATGCAAAAAGCACCGTGGTTGTGTGTGTTTATATGATTACAGCCCTAAGCCAGCAGTGCTTTCACAGCAAAGCAGTCATTTGGCAGCAGGTCTGAGTGTGAATCACATAAGACTGATAGACATGCAGCCAGAGAAGACACAATGACCATGTAACCACATCTCGACACATTCCTGACAATTCACTTTTCTCTGAGAAAAACACATACAAAGAGACACACAGAATCGAAATATCTATTTTTAGTCTACATATTTACTGTTCATAAGGGTCAAAACTAAATTGTTTCCATTCTAACCTCTTCTAATTGTAATTCTTAAATGTTTACATAAAAAAAAAACACTATAACATTCTGGTTCCTTTTCATCTATGCCTGACTGTAATTATTCAGGGTTAGAGCGCTTAATTTAGTTCTATTATGATAATATGGAAGATCCTTGGGAAATACTAATGAAATTGTTTAGCAAATTCGTTAAATCAGAGCATGGTAGGACTTAATAGGAAAATGTATACAAAACTTGGGAATAAAAAAGAAACCATAACCCCCAAAAGCATTTGATTTTATTGCTTTCTTCTGATGCATATAGGTTTTTTTAATAGTTATTTGACAAACAACGGTCGTGTCGGTCTATAATTGAATTTAAATTACGTTTTAGATGTATTAATTGACTGTGGTTCGGACTTAAAGGAGCCACGTCAACGGAGATGGCCTGCACCAGGCTATACTGTGCAGACGTTTCCCTATAACTACAAGAAATTTAAAAAAAAAAGGGGAAAAAAGGCTATTATGTGCAGGCATCTGCGTGGCTTTGGTGATATAGTTTGGCTGCTATGTGGGCAGAAAATGAATTAAAAATAATTAGCCCTACATTTGCAAGTGAAACTGATGTGCCAGCCTTCCAGTTTGGCCGTGTGTGAATTTTGGGACCCAAAGCAGGTCTAATTTGTCACGCTGTGTTATTTTCCAGGGTTGAGTCGTGGAGACCTGGGCCTGCCTAATACTCATTAAAGACGAGGCCAAGTTCACCATCACTCAACCAGCGCGCGCGCACACATACACGCATGAGCCTGTGCGCTGCTTCAGTAATAGACGGTGAAGTTATGTTATGCCTTTTGGCAGTTCTGCAATACACATAAAGTAATAATCCTCAGAGAGCGGCAGTTTAACTATGATTTTAAACTAATTGTCCTTATTACCTGAGAGGAAAGGAGATTTACAAATATATTAAAATGTACAGAAAATGTACTTCTACAATTAAATATTAATTCTACACCAAAGAATAACGCAACAGATGGGGTGAGAGCGGTTTCATTCTGCATATAAGAATTTAAATTGCCACAGGTGCTTGCAATTATCTCATATTTAACGACTAAGATTCAGCCAATCAGATCAGAGTAACATACTTGTTCGATTAAACAGACAAAGAAAAAACATAATTAAAAAAAAACAGATTTCGTATTATTGCTTAATTGCATTTATACATGTTCAAAGCTATAGATATCATATATATTTTTGTTTCGAAACGTAAATGTATTAGGTAACACAGCAACAAGCGTAGGCCTAATTCCTGCGATCCGTGACCCCTGGAAACGTTTTGAACCGAGTAAAAAATTAATTAGGAATTGACTGGATAATTGACAACAACCTCGCTCTTTCTTTCGGTAAAAGTGGCATCAAATTGGAGACATCCGGCAGACAGAATTTAGAAAACCGTCGTAATGATGAAGCATCGGGCTCTGACGTTGTAATGGATCATTTAGGAGGCTTTTTGTAAGGCCATATGGGACCCAATCGATTAACATTATAGCAGATTTTTGAAGGAAGAGGAGAGCAAACTGTTTTTTTAAATGAGCAAATTGTTCTTTAATTATTTTCCCCTCTGTTGAATTTTGGGAGCGTGTCTTTTCTTAGTTTTGTTGAACTCTGACTGCGTGAAAAATATCACTATTAGTAAATATAGTATAATTCTTAGCAGCAGAAAAGGCATTACAATGCTTTGAGAGGGAAATAACGAAACCTTGTAATGAATTACTTGCATTTTTAAGCGAATATTAAAGTATGGCCTGCATCTCTAAGCATTTTTATAATATGCATTGTGACAATGAATTAGTGAATGAGTTTTTTGTGGGTTTTGTGTGTAGGAAAGACAATTAATAAAGCATTTTAAAGCCTAAAAGATGAGCATTTTCCCAAACTGCATTGCACCTTAATGTACTGAGGGAAACATTGTCTTAATTTAATAGCGAAACAATGATCAGTCTCTTTTCTTGCCTGTCTTGTTGTTTAAAAAACCAGAAGAGGGAGCCAGGTACAAGGATTTGATGAGCAGAAGCAGCTCAAAGAACATTGTCAGACTTTAAATGGGCTCCGTTAACAATGGAAACAGAAAGGAGACTATTTGTTGGATTACAAATAAAAATGATGTGAATATGTATTCTCCTGAATTGATGTATTGCCCAACTGGACATTGTCATGGCCCTCAGTCAATGCAGTGAGGGAAATGCATGTTTAACACATCACATCTGTCATTAACATATCCACATCCAAGAACGAGTATTAGTTTAACAAGCTCCCACAGACACACGTATTCCCAACTTTTTAACATAAACGATGGCTGCAGGAAAATGTGAGGCTACTCACCAGGGAGCACAGTCCGTTAGAAGTTGTAAATCCAATTTCTGCCGACGATATCACACCAATAATCCCAGAGCAGGCCAGGTGGATTTAAGATGTCCTTTTCCGCTGCAATGAAGACACGTCTCCTCGTTTTATCCGGATTTCTTGTGAAGAGCTCGCTTGGCTGGGGTGAAGAAAGAGGAACGCTAAAGCAAAAAGAGTTCTTCAGGTTTGGTGTTTTGGTGAACACGGACGCCCAACAGTCAGTGAATGCGCTCCGTGCGCCAAACAGTTTACAGGGTTTGTAGGAAGCAGCGGGATATATAAAATGTCCAAAGACAGTGTAAGGAAATGATCAGTTCCTTCAACGAATCGGTGCGTGATGTTGCAGTAATTATAAACAAAAACAACTATCTACGGCAAACCCGAAGTGCCACTTGCGGAAACGTCGGAGGTAGGCTACTTTGTCGATACTAAAAAATAAGCGGCCTATTGGATTGTCTCTAGCCGGGTTAAAACTGTCCCCAATTATATCGAGAGTACGTCAAATAAAAATGAAAAATGTTGCTGTGAACATTAAATCCAGCCGCACACACGTTCAGGTCATAGCGCGTTTTACCTGCGGAACGATCCACACCGTGATCCTCGCCACAAACGACTTGTCAATTTACCTTCCATTCTGAGCAGAAAACGACTTGGACAATTCCTCAGCTCGACTTAAAAGTCTTCACATGCAAAAAAGTAAGTCATCCGCCTCGCAACAAAAAAAAGAAACAGATGCCACAATTAATCGGCTCCAGACTGTATGCTCCAAAAAACTTTCCGCGCGGACTATCTCCAAACAGTGTGGCTTGGCGAGCGCGCACGGTACCAGGGGGAGGAAAAGAGCACAGCGTGTGAACAGCGGCTTTGCTGAGGCTCCGAGTCTGTCGTCCTTCCACACCGTCTGTGTGTGTTGCAGTGCAGGGAAGTTTCACCGACTATCGCTTCCACTCCGCTTTCCTCTCTCACCTGCTTCAGTCGCCTCCTCTCACAAACTAGCACACTGCAGCATGGATGCGCAGCCCAAAACCTTCAGATGGCGCATGCGCTTCACATTTCTCCTCAAACCCCTTTCTACTTCCTCCAGTCACCAACTTTCTGAAGCAAGGAATTTGAATGTAGGTACAATCGTGGAGGGAGAGGAGAGAGAGAGAGAAAGAGAAGGGCGGAACAGGCTGTAACAAAACAAGCGTCTCTATTACCTAAAATAAACTTATAAAGCACCCGAGGCTATTACCCTATCCATACCAGAGCAGAGTTAGGATTTTCACTGGCAGCAGCTCGAGTTACCACTCGGTAAAATCAAGACAAGCAGGTCCATATCGTGTGCTTATACAGGCTGCTCTCATCACCTGAAGGCCTCTGAGCATTACAGTCATTACGGTAATTATTATTTTATGGTACATTATCTCAAAACATGCAGCAGGAATCCGTGAGCTTACAGTTCGATATTTCTCAATGAACCCGATGATGAGTGTCAGAGGGCAAAGTGTTTAATAGTTTCAGGTGTGTCACTGTGGGTTTCTATCCTCCACACTGAAGGCATTCAAGGGTGAAAGCCGTGTTATTTTCTATTGCGTTGGACAGAATTTCATCTGGATTGGGGAAATAGAAATATAATAACAGTCAGGGAAAGAAGTAAAACAGTGCTTAAATTAATTTAAGGGGGTGAATATTGACCTAATGCCCAAATAAGGGTTTGCCTCAGGTGATTCAGGAAAGAGAGGGGAAAAGAAATCCATTCAGACAATTTCTTGATACTTATCTTGTAGTCTTAGTCAAGTGCAGTCAATCTTATAGGGCCGCTGTGGGTCTAACTTAAAATCCATTTAAGCCCCTTAAACCTTATTAAAATGAAGGGAGAATATAAATGTATATATGCATACACAAACAAACCAAAATGTACATAAAAAACATAATTTTCTGCTCCTCAAATAAGTCTGTAATAATGAAAAACATTAGTGATTAAAACTGATTCTGGCCCCCAAAAAGGTTTATTATAATAATGATTTTTGGAGAGTCGTCATTTTGTCACATTTTTTTCTCCTTTAGGAATGTTACTCTTATAACTGTGAATACCTGTGGCAAAATTAAGTATGAAGTGCCTGCAAATTTTGCAAGAGTTCTGTTCCCAGCTAATGTTACCGTGGTGGATGCTGGAGGCTGCGACTGCGTCAAAGAGCACTTAAAACATGCTCAGCCACATTTCTGATCCCTCACCATGCCTCACAACCCCTTCTCCACCCCCCACGTTCCCCTAGGAAGCAAACTGGGCAACATCTGGCTGAGTTTATGAGAGAGAGAGACAGAGAGAAAGAGAGAGAGAGAATTGGTAGACCATGAAAACTGGGGAGAATTCTTTTTTGGGCAGTGCAAGAGTCTATTGTTGTAGTTGCCATTAGTGGCGGTGAAACTGCACCTTGTGAAAATACCCACTGTTGTACTCAGATTTACCTATAACACTGTCAATGTCAATGTTCACATTATGGTCTTGCAGATTAAACACATGGTGTCATTCTTATGAAAACAACTTTTATTCCAACAACAAAAACAAGCTGACCACTGCAAGCCACTGTGGAACAAGTCAAGGGTGAATACTGTTACCCCCCAAATTCTCACAGTTGTAACAATCATGAGCGCAGCATGAAACCACACACACACACATGCACACACAGTGTACAAAAACTGTACATAAGGTAAGGGCGAAATGGAAACGCTGTTACTGTTTAATCAAAACACAACACTGTACATTATCGTCAACCTCCAGTACAGTGAAAAAGGTAATGACACAGTGCTTTAAAATGCAAGTCACTTCATTATAAACAGATTTGCTACTCAGATTCACGGGATCAAGAAAAAGACCACAAAATAATACATCACTCATCAGCATAATAAATCACCCACAGTTTTTAAAATTAAAAAAGAAAAGTGGCACTCAAAAATGTTTCAGATGTAGAAAAGCTAAGATGACATGATATTGGTTTACAAACGCAATGCAGGTTAAAAGAACACGAGGAGAAATTCACAAGAAGACCATGCTCACTGATTTAAGGTCAGTCGTGTGTCTATTGGCGCGTTTCCACTACACGGCCTCGCTCGGCCCCGCTCGGTATGGCTGGGCCTCGTTAGGACTGGCTCACTTTATGGCGCATTTCCATTACAGTTTAGGAACTGGGGTAGTATCTATAGTAACGCAGTGTAGGCGGAGCCGTGACGTGATCTTCAGAGAACCCCAGAAAAACAACACAGCCGTTAGCTGTTAGCACTCAGAGCTCACAGCTCCTCATATATGTTCAGAAACTAGACAAAAGTTAAACAAGTACAAACCACAGACTGCCTGTGTCATGGTGAATACAGTCGCTGCTTTATTTATGTCTGTATAGGCCGTTGTTGTGAGTGTGGACGGTCGGAGCATATACTGCATTAGCTTAGCCAATCTCCATTTAGATCACACGCATTTTAAAAGGTTTTTCGCCTGCCGTCTGTCTGCAGACTTGACAAAGCATTAATTCATGGTTTTTACTAACCGGTATCAGTATGTTGTTACTTCGGCATCATTTTGAAACGTGTATTACAATTAAATCACGGTCAAATATGTCCATCTTGTTGTAGTTGTAGCCCCCTTGCCAGCGATGCTCTCTCTAGTTTAGCATACTCAGCCCGACTCAGCCTCGTTGTATCTGGCCCTAGACCCGCGATTTTATGAGGCCAGAAAAACTGTGAATTAGGACCCGCCGGCCGGTACTAGGCCAAGTGGAAACGCAACCAAAGACGGGCCGCTGACGTCACAGCCCTCTTAAACCGTGCTCCGCGCTGTAGTGGAAACGCGCCATTTGGTGTAAGCTGATGCTTGAACAGTTTTTGTCGTGCATCGTTAATCCCAAAAGTACCTTTCTTTGTTGATCTCTCGGCAGGAAGTGGGGAATAGTCAAATAAACGAGTAACTAGGGCGGTTTACTGGGTAGTCGGAAAGATTCAGATGCAGTCATTTCAGTCATTTGTTTCAGCAGACAGGGTTGTCTCCTTTGGCACTGTACATTGAGAAGGTCTCTGTGGATTGTGGATTTTGAGGTCCATGTTGTCATATTTACAAAAGTCTGCTATTTAACTGCCGGAGTAAACACATTCATGCCATCACAAACCAGTCCAGGATTGGCATTGGTTTACAACTAGTTCCACTGTCTGAGCTCAGCCGCACCAGTAGTCGACAGTGGTGGAGTGATTGCTGGTTGATGTTAAGCCAGAACTCTGTAGCACCCGCAATACTGTAAAATGAATCCAGCTCGCAGTCTATTGAAAACAGCTAGGGAAATAAAGGCCGCTTGCCAATACCTTGAAGCTCCACGCTGATGACTGATGGTCCTGTGGGCGGCATTCTCCCACCCTCTGTGGGCCATTGCATTTATCAGCGGAGGTGACATTCATCGGTAAGATGTGAGAATATCTGACCGGCTGAACGATGAGCTTTCCCATAATACATTAAAATCTTGTATCCTGGGGTATGTGTTCATATACAGGTCTGCTCACATGATGGTGGGGGGGTATGGGCTGGTTCAGTGTGTTCCTTGCAGTTGAAGCTCTTGAACATCTTGGTACCTGGCCTACACCTACAAGCAGCTGTGGAAAGAAACATGAAAAAAGAAATCAGGAGGAGAGGTCAACCACAAAGTATGAAAACCGAATGCTTTATTTCACACAGGGATATGAAGATGCATCATCAAGCCAGGAACTTAAGGTTGTGTTTTAAATGTTCTCCAAAAAGGTTACATCATGCAGTTAATTTGTGTAGTAATGGACAAAAGATCTCAAAATACTTGAATCCATAGTATTTAGTTTTTTTTAGCTTTGACCATTTTCTTCCTCCAACTGTTTGGCGAGCCTCCAGAGGTCCTTAAGAATGCTAAATGCAGTTGGCACCAGCCCAGACATCAAGTACTCATTAATAAAAAATAAAAAGCTATTGGAATGTGTCTGTTATTCAGCCCTCACAGCAGTCAGCAACAACTCACTTCTTTCCTAAGGGTTAAGTTGTGGGAAAAAAAAGAAACAATGATGTATGTCTAGCTCGCTGGGGGCGCCTCATTGGCTGAGCAAACAGGCCCCAAAATAACTACCAATCACTGAAGACGTTATCATCAGTCACTCAGGGAGAGCATGTTGATAGAACTTTAATACAAACTTTGTTTGTCTTGGACTAAAAGTGTTCCCAGGTAAAGTTTGGGAAAATGTTGTGTTAGAGAAGATTTGACCTGAGTAATGACCCCCAACATCTTGAATATAAAAGGATTACAGGTATGGAATGGTAGCATCTTAGGTTAGTGTTTTGTGTATAGAGGAATGCCAAATTGTATGGAATGTGTTCAACACAGTGAGCAGAACTGCTCACACTCTTCCTGTCTCCCTCTGATTGGCTGCAAGGCAGAGAAGGACCATCCATTACAGCCAGGAGTAAATAAACATGCACAGCAATTAAAGTGCCATCATTTGTTATGCAACAAGGGGTGTGTGTGTGTACACATAAACCCAATTGCGTGTAAGTGTGATCAAATGTGTGTCTGCGCATGTACATGCTCGATTGTGTGAATTTGTGCATGTGTGTTGGTCGCCATTCTCAGGTTTCATTGCCGTCGCCTGCACTTAAATTAATGATTTGGGGGCCAGAGAATCAACAAATATGGCCCCCGGCAGGGCATAATGGAGAGCACGACCTGCCTGTGGATGTGTTTGAAGACCGCTCCTCTTTCTTCTCTGTCAACACCTCACTACTTCCACACAACAGACGCATTCACTACACAAACTCACATGTGACGCCTGTGTCCATGTTGTTAATGAGGAAGTGTGTGTTGCTATATGTGGTCATGAATGTGTGTACGCTTATCAGCCAATGATTATTTAACATGTCAGCATGTTGTGACAGAGTGTTGAAATCATGGAATTCTATGTTCCTGAGTGTACGTTCTGAAATTGTAGTCATGATTATGCCCGCTTAAGAAACATGTGACAAAGCAAAGCATAATATCAGCCTGGAAAGCAAAAACCACGCTCTGGATAATTTAGTGAGCTCAAATGGCTCCGACAGGCAGCTTAAAGCCTTTTCAGCCCAAAGGTCGATGTCCACAATTTTCTGCATCATCAGCTTCTATAGGCAGCAAAAAAAAGTCAGATACAAGACACTTCATGCACAAAGAGAACAAGATGCCCCCTCGCTATTTTAAAATGATGATCCTAAATTGTGCAAGGTAGCTCTTGTCACTGTATACTTGTCCAACTAAATTATAAAATAAGTTGAGTATGATTGAAAACAGCTGAATGCACATTTGACACATAGAGGTTTAATTTATTAAACAGACACTCATGTGCAGCAGTTTGGCTGCATGAGGAATGTAAGGGAAGGAATGTGATAAATTGCTCTGTAATATTTAGAACGTGACCTGAGTCCTTAGAAATGGCTACCGATAAAACTATGACATTGTACACTTGACAATTATCCAACAGATCAACGAAACCCTCTCATTTTGATATTGAGTCCCTTCGTGTAGGGATGGGGGAAAGCACATTTGGTAATGGCTTTATTTACACAAATATGAAAGTAAATAGAAGTCTCTTTGGGGGTTGGTTTCAGATCACAATTGGGTGAACTGTCCTTTTCAATTCAAAATTGCTACCATACCAATGCATACCTTATAAAATAGCAAAACATAATTTCACACTCCCTCTTGCAGCACTCAGCCTTCATCTGCCTGCTACTCCAATCAGCAATTCCTATCTTCTACTCCCTGCGTTACCTTCATCCTCCTCCCCACTCCCCTTTCTCAGCGTGGTTGATAGTGGGATCAGACAGGGTGAACACTTTCTCATATAAATACTTGTTTAGCCTGTGTCTGGAGAAGGACAATGATTGACTTATCAACATTTGCATTGCCCTCTGCAGCACAGAGGCTTGGTTGAGAGGAAGACCAATTTCTACTTCCTGGTACCCCTGTGTAAATTAAACAATGTTCATTTTGTGAGTATTGTGTGTCTACATTCACAACATACCAGGTCAAAGCCAAGTAAGTGGATAGGAAATCCAAAAAAAGGCAGTAAGGTGTCTGTTTTGTTAATCTACCTGTATTTCTCCCAAAATCTAAATTGCGTTTCTGTACAACTGACTGTCTTTGTCTTCAGGGATTGGGTGTCAACCCTGAGAGTCTGGATGTGAGCGGCTGAATCCCTTCTTGTCTTTAAGTGCTACTAATATAAACTGCCTGTTAAATGGATCCTTGCAGAGTTTTTGGACCACCAATGTTAAAGTGCTGCTCCTTCACTTGGAATTACACTGTGGTTGGTATCCTTTCACTTCAACAGAAAAAAAAGAAACACACCAAATTCAATTACCAGTACAAAGATGCCCCCCCCCCCCCTCCAGCACCCTAACAAGACGAGAGACGTAAAACAAGCGCATGAAGGGGCAGACATTGGAGTTAAATACTGAGTAAGAGAGCTAACATCTGTTCTGTCTACGTAGTCATGCATTTTTTCTTTTTGTTGAGATCCTCTGTGGTCACATGTCTAGTATGGGAACACAGACATATCATGTTTCTGATAGGATGGTCTATTTAACCTCTGGAAAGAAGGTCAGAAGAGAAGCAGATTTGGCAAAATGCTTTACAATGAAAACAATGACAAAACAAATCACTGTTCTTATCATATGTCTGATGTATTGAATGCATAGTCTATGGTGTAATCACGATTCAACAAATAAATCACAGCATATTTTTTGCTAATTTGAAAGACAGTGTGTAAGATAATCTATTATAGCAAATGTAATACAAAAAAGAACACTTGAAATGTGGTCCAGCTCCACTTAATTCATCCGAGGTGACACATTCCCACAGGCTAAAAACTGAGATAACATAATAAATGGATTACAAAGAAAATCTGTTCACATGCCCATCCAGTTATTTTGAAACCACAGCTCTTTAGAACTCTTTACAAATCTGGCCCACATCAACCTACCCCAAGAAGAGAGAACATCTCCTTGGTAACAATTGCTTCAAGAGCTTGCCCTTTCTTCCCTTCATTTCTCTCTTTTTCTTTTTTTTCTGCCTGACTTTTACAACTTCCTCCTGGTTGGGACTGCAGCTCTAACCCAAACAAAACTCCATTTTTTAGTTATTGGCCCTCATGGCATGTAATGGAGAATCAAGCTAATTATCCCTACAGCTGTTTTCACTTGCTTTTTATGTAAGCAATACCTGGCTGATCCAGAGAGCAACAGTGAGGCCCTTCTTAGCGCTCCAGGCCTCCAGGCCGGCTGGAATTAGAGAGCAAAATGCCAGGTTTTCCTCCCCCCGACGCTGCCCGTGTGTACCCCTGCACCCATCTCCCAGCACACAACGCAGCCTGACACAACCCCCTGCACGCCCAAATCTTCCATCTCCACTCCCTCATACAAATCTCAAAAACTCCCCCTTTGATGTTAAACAAAGCTACTCTTCACTTAAGATCTGTGTGGCAAGCGCTCATTTTCTTCCACTGATGGTCCCTGGCAATTAATGAAGGAGGTGAGCTAGGGTGTGGCTCAGATTAGCCATCTCCTGCTGTCATAAGACTAGAAAGAGAGAGAGAGAGTGAGTGCAGAAAAGAAGAGGGAGGGAAAGAAGGACGGAGAGCGGGAGAGAAGGGGGAAAATAGTGAAAGAAAACAATCCCTCACAGGCTAATTACATAATTTCCTTCATATGAGCAAACACATGCTGGGTGAAAGCAAGTGTGAGCAAGCCTCACAGATGCCAGGCCAAGAGGTGCTGCGGAGACCTACTAACACAGTCTACCACTGCTCTCTAGTAATGGACAGCCTATTCCACAAAGGCACTGAGCCAGATCTCAAAGGCAACATTATCTGCACTGTTTGTTGCTTTTACGAGATTCATATCCAAAACCTTAGTATTGATTCTCCCTTCTCCAGCAGTTTCAGGCTAAAGTGACTGTGCAGATAAACAACCACCGGTGTAACCTTTCACTCATTACAGATTATTCCTTGCTGCAGCCAGAAATCTGTTCAGTACAAACACCACTAGGTGGAGTTGACTGTTGATGAAAAAAAAAAATCTCATGTATCAAACTCATTAAACTCCCATGAAGAGGCAGTGTGCATCTGCGAGTCAGACACCGTGCATGCTTCCCATGGGCCAACTCTGAACTTTTAAAAAACTGCTTCACTAGCGTGCTTTGTGCCTCTTCAAATGTACATCTGGTTTGAAATGAACTTATACAGAGATGGATAAAGACAGAGGGGGACACTGGTAGCAATTTTACAACTTCTATTATTTCAGCCAAATTATAGTAACAACTGTGCCAGCGACAAAAAGGAAAAGAGCAATTCCTCCCTTGAACTCCTTCTCTCTCCCTTTTTTTTTCCTCTAATCCTGTGAGGAATGATGGAGGGCTCCGTGTGGAATGGTGATGACTTTCCCGAGTCCAGCCAAGGTGTGCCAATGTACAAATGATACGGGTGGAATCTGCAGTACCTATTCCTAATGTAGAGGTTGTTTTGACATATTTTGCACAGACAAGACACTACTGCACACACATATGTAAATGCATGTATGTATGCTTGCGTTAAAACCTGTACGT